GCAGCAGTGTATGAGAAATCAGCCCTGGCTGGAACAGCTCTTTGATTCCTTCAGTGACCTCTTGGCCCAGGCCCAGGCCCAGGCCCAAGGCCGCTGCGTGTGACCCTGGGGGCCCACGAGTGTCCGACGTCCGGGTCGCTGACTTGCCCTGCTGGGTTGTAGCCCCTCCCTGCCCCCCACCCCCTTTCACTGTACAGAGAAATTATTTATATATATATGTATAAATGTCTATTTAGTACCCTCCCTCCTTTGCCCTCCCCTCCTCTGCCCTCCCTCCATGTACATAATGTATAGGAAAAGTCTATGTATGGGTGGGGGGTCCAGGGAGTGCTCCCGCTTCCAACCAAGACCTTTTCTTTAAGCGCCATCCCTTGGCAGTGGGAGGCTGTGGTGGGTGGGGTAGGGGATCTCAGCTTGTTAATTATTTTTAATCTTATTTATTGTACATACCTTTGGGGAGGGACTTAGGGGAGGGGGAAGAGAAGGGGTCTTCGCTCCGGCCCCCCTCCTTTTCTACGTACAGCGCTTTGTGTCTGGTCCCTGGCCCAGCCCCCGGCCCACCTCGCTCCAGTTTCTGAGTGTTGTCTGAATGTGGTTCTATTTTTTATCAGTCTGTCCACTCCCCTCCTCCTCCCCAACCCCTTCCTCTACCCTGTTGTCTCTCGCTCTGTCTTTCTCTTGGGCTTCTAAACAATTCACCTTGTATACACTGTGTACACAGAACCAGCCAGGCTCCGGAACAGCAACCACTTTATTTGCATGGGCTGGCCCTCGTGTGCCTCTGTCCTGCGCTGCGGTGGGGGAGGGGGGGAAGGGGGAGGGGACAATGCAGTTTCTAGAAACCCATGGATGGGGGGGGGATGCATTTCCTATGATCCTATAAAAATGGGAGCTACCCTGTTGCTGCTGAAGTAGGGAATGAGCTCCCCGTCACTGGAGACCTCCAAAGGAATATGGGTGACCACTTGTTGGGGTTAACTTCTGAGCCCCTGCCACGCCTGAGGAGGCCACAGGCCCCTTCCTCCCCCCAGGAAGGAATGAAGTGCGCAGGAGGGGATAGGGGAGTTTGGAAGTGGGCAGGGGTTGTGGCCTGGACCTCCCTCCCCAGTGGGGCTAGAAGTGACCAGCTACCCCCAGAGTAGGGGCCAGACTCAGGGACAGCAGTTGCCCCTCACTCTGGGCTATACCTTTGGGCCTTGGTGGGGGTGGGGGGCCCTGGAAGCTTTGGCCAGCTGGTCATCCGCCCCAGGGATTCTTGGGTCTGTTCGAAGTTCGGTCACGGGGCCCTTCCCTAGGAACTGATTGACGCTCAGTCTGGTATTGGCAGTGAGGTTTATTGAGAAGTGGGGTGGCAGAGTATATACAGTTGTGATTTTGAGGGAGAAAGGGAAGGGTGTGCGCTGTGAGGAAGGCACTGGGTGACCCCGTCCCAGGGGCCCGGTTGGTGTAGTGTAACTGGACATGGAGGGGCAGTGTGTGTGTGGGGGGTGCTTCAGGGCTCCCCCTGCACTCCTCTCTCCCCGACAGTCAATCCATGCCATTGGACAGGAGAGGTAACAGGCCCCACGTGGGGAAGGGCCCCAGACAGCAAGGCAAGTAGAGAGCCATCTCTGAGGTGCTGCTCCGGGCCCAAGGGCACAGGAGTTAGAGAAGGAGGCATGGGCAACCACCGCTCCCAGCCTTCTTCCTAGGGGGTGTTGGGGGACTGGGGGGCAGCTCTTGCTCCTGGTACTTCCTGTGGAGGGAGATACTTTTTAGGGGAAGCCAGGTGGGGACCGAGAGTGGGCGGGTAGGACGGCAGCTGGAACGGGGCGCTACTGCAGATCCTGCCAGGCATGGACTTGGGTGGGATGGGAGGGTGTCTGGTGGGTAGGGAACATCTAGCTTACCAGGAAGGGACGCTGAGGCTTGGAGAGCCAGACACGAGAACCCCTGCTTGTTTTGTTCACTAGGCTGGGGGAGGGGGAGGGGCCGAGGCTCATTCTCACCGGACAGCTCGGACTAGCTGTTCAAAGGCTTCGTCCACGTTGAGGCGGAGTTTGGCCGATGCTTCAAAATAGGCTATGTGGCGGGAGGCACAGAAGGCCGAGGCCTCAGAACGGGGTACCTGGGGCAGTGGGGAGGAGAGGGGGCTGAGCAGCCGCGCCCTGGGACCTGCCCCTCCCTGCCCTGCTCCCCACGGCGCCTGACCTGTCTCTGGGTCTCCAGATCAGCCTTGTTGCCCACCAGCACGATGGGGAAGTCATCTCTGTCCTTGACGCGGAGGATCTGAGTATGCAGCTTGTCTGCCTCGTTAAAGCTAAAGCAGGGAGGGCAGACGGGGGAGCCAGGAAGCAGAGCTTAAGTTGGGCCCGCTGCCCGCCACCAGGACCACCTCTCGGTCTTCCTTCTGCAGGTGCCAAGGCCAGCCCTTACTCCTCCCCTCCTTCGGGTTCCAAAGCTGGCCCTTTGCAAGTGCAAGCACCAAAGCCAGCCCGGATATTCGTCTCATGCACCCTCTAGGGGGTGGGGCAGCCAGGTAGCTCACCTCTGCCGGTCATTGATAGCGTATACTAGCAGGAAGCCGTGGCCGGCTCTCATATATTGTTCCCTCATGGCCCCAAACTCCTCTTGCCCGGCGGTGTCCAGGACTGGGGAGGGGCAAAAAGGGATTGGGGGGCCCTACGCCTTCCTTCCAGCTCCCCCGCCCCGCCAGCAGTCCCTCTTCCTCACCTCCCCCCTCCCCAGTAATCCTCCTCCCCCTCACTGTCCAGCCGGGCCGGGATCCCATCCACACTGCACAGCTTGGTGTAGGAGTCCTCGATGGTTGGGTCATAGTCAGACACGAAGTAGGACTGCCAGCGAGGGGATGGGAAGTCAGACCCAGGGCGGCTCTTGTCCCGGCCCCAGTGTTCGCCCCTCTTGGGTTTGAAGCTCTCCCCATCTCGACCTGTCAGGGCGCGGGGCTCGTCCTGTCCCCCTCGACCCCCGCTCGCTGGAGTCTGTCTCTCTCGCCCTCTCCCGTGTCCGCCCGCTCTGACTCTTTCCCTCCCCGAGGCCCTGGCTGGTCCGGTCCAGTCCCTCCCTCCTTAGCCTGGGATGCGGCCAGATCCCGCTGTCTGCGCTGCCCGGAAAGGGGGAGCCCTCCCGCCTCCGGCTCCCGCCCTTCCTGCCCCGACCGCCTTCCCCACCCCCCCGGCCAGGGCCAGGGCCAGGGCCAGGGCCAAGGCCAAGGCCAAGGCCAGGAACGGAACTTGGGGGTGGGGTGGGGGAATGTGGTGGCAGGGCCCGAACTGGGGGATGGCAGGGGTCGGGGCCAGATCGTAGCAGGGACCCCCGGGCAGGGAGAGAGTGGTTTGTGTGGCACGTGTGCAGGAGGCGAGCACAGCCCTGGGGGAGGGGCTCCGGTGGGCGGGGCTCCCGGGGGACCCAGAGCAGGGGCCGTGGTCGCCGCGGGGGGGGGGGGGGGGCCCGGGCGGGCGCCCTCCGCTACCTGGATGAACTGGATAGTGAGCGCGCTCTTGCCCACACCGCCACCTCCCACGACGACCAGCTTGTGCGTCTCCCCGGCTGGGGCCGGGGCCGACAGGGCCGCCCCTGGACGGCCCCGCCCGCGCCCCTGCCCGACTCCCGCTCCAGCCGCTGCCGCCGCTGCCACCCCGCTCATGTCGCCGGCCCGCTGCCGCCGCCTCGGGGCCCAGGGAGGTGCCCAGCCTGGCTCGACTGGGGCGGAGCCATGCTAATGAGAACACGGGGGCGGAGCCATGCTAATGAGCCCCGGAGGGCGCTTGGTGTTAAGCTTCTAAGGTTCCAGGTGGAACGTCCAGGCCCTGGGGGGGGGGGGGGGAGACGCTGTCGTGGTCCGCCAATGGGAGACAGAACGCTGCGGGGTATGTTAATAAGCTGGTGGAATTTCCTGGCCTAGGCGAGGCTCAGCTAAAGAGGGTCCCGCATTAGTCAGGGTCGGGGCGGTGTCCTACATGTGGAGGCGGGATATGCAAATAAAAGCTTCCTCTCAGCCAAGCCGAGAGGCACAGGAAAGTGACCGGGGTCCGGAGGCGGGGCTTTTGTTAATATAGTCGGGGCTTCGCCCTCATGGGGTCCCAGGAGGCGGGTTTATGCGAATGAGGGGGCGGAGTTTTGCTCTCGGCTGGGTCGTGAAGTCATCGCATTCCAAACCCATGAGCCCGGAGGCCAGAGACAGGAGGAAGGGGCGCAGGGGTCCCCGTCCAAATATTTCAACTTTTCCCTACTTCCCTTATCTTACTGGATCTTACAGGAGGAAACGGAGGTCCAGAGAGGGAGGGCGAGCGATTTTCCCTGAGTCACCCTTTCAGTTCTGTCAAATGATGTTATATTTGTAAAACGCTAGTAAATACTTGTTCCCTCCCTCCCTCCCTCTCTCCCTCCCTCCCTCTCTCCCTCTCATCTCCTATCAAGTCTAGATCCTTTAGGATGGGGCGCCAGGCTCCCCGGGGAGAGGGTGAGAGCCAAGGTTGAGTGAGGCTATGCACTTTGGTCCCGCAGTCTCTCAGCCTCGACTGACTACAACTCCCGAAGGCCTTTGCCGCAGGCCTTTTCCTTCCGGTCGCGCGCAGAACACTGCGGAGTCGGATTGGAGGGGAGGGGGGGAGGCGCGCTCGACATTGCCAGCCCCACCTACCTTCCTCCCTTCCTCCCTCCCTAGCTTGGCTCGGCCTTCCTCTGCTTCCGCGCGTCAAGGAACTACGCCTCCCGGCGGGACCCGCGTGCCACCGCGCTGCTCACCGGGAAGCGCAGTTCCCCAGCCGGCTGCCGTGGGCGGGCGACGCTTCTGCCGGACTGCATTTCCCAGCGTGCCCCGAGGCGGCGCGCGCCCGGCCCCGCCCCATCCCGCCTTGCCCCGCCCGCGCCGGGGCCCCTGAGCCGCAGCCGGAGGAGCGAGCGAGAGGAGATCGAGACGAGAGGAGAGAGAGGAGGCCGCGGAGCCAGGAGGAGGCGGAGGCGGAGGCGGAGGCGAAGGCGGAGGAGGAGGAGGAGGAGGAGGAGCAGCGGCAGCGGCGGCGGCGGCGAGCGGGTGAGGGGCGGACGGACTGGGGAAAGGACGGACGGAGGGAGGGCCGGACGGGGCAGGGAGGGGAGCGTCGAGGCCCAGGCCGCCGCAGCCGCCGCCGCCGCCGCCGCCGCCGCCGCCGCCGCCGCCGCCGCCGGGGTAAGATGGCCGCCCGGCTCGGGCCCCCGAGCGGAGCTGCGCCGCCGTGTACGCCGCCCGGCAGGTCTACGCGCCCGCCGGAGCCCGGGGGGAGGGGCTCACGGCCTGGGGCGCGGCCGGGGGGCTCTTGTCTCCAGGGGCCGCGCAGGGCCCGGCGATCGCAGGCCCCTGGGCCTCGGTGGCGGGGGGCCGCTGTCCGAGCAGGACCCCCGGCATCCCAGGGAGCGCCCCGGGCCGGGTGCGTGCGGACGTGCAGCCGGACACCGGGAGGCGGCCGGAGCGGGCCGGGGTCTGCCGGGGGACGCCTGGCCGGAGCAGGGAGGGCCGTCTTTGAGGTCCTTGGCCAGAGGGGCAGGGCTGCGACGTCCGTGGGGAAGGGGCTGCCTGTCGGGCCCGGGGCCGTCGGCGAGCAAGCAGGGGGCGCACAGGTGTCAGATGGGGGGCCCCATCGTAGGGGGGCTCACGGCCCCCAGATTTTGCCGGTGGGGGCGGGGGCAGCGTAAAGGCCTTGGTGCGGCCCTTCCCATCCTTGACACCGGCTGAGAGACGAGAGGTGAATCGCCAGGAGGATTTTTGAGAAATCATCAGTTTCACCCACCCCAAAAACAAAACCCCCCAAATAGGTAGAGGAACAAATGAGGCTTAGAGAAGGGCGGGGATTCATCAGAAGTCACCCTTCAAATCGGGGCTAGTTGGACCTCAGGCAGAGCCTAGTGTCCTGCTCCCCAGCCCAGCCTGAGCCTTCTCCGGTTCTGGATGGGGTCTCCACGGTCACCTGGGAAGAGTCCGACTCTTTCGAGGAGCAGCCCCAGGACCTCGAGCCATCCGGGACCCCGACAAACAGCCCCTGGGCGCCCCAGGGAGCCCCCACCCAGCTCCCACACTCACGGCAGCAGCATCAGTCCCGCCTGCTCCCCTGAGGCAGAGCTCGGCTCTGGGGCTCCGACAGCGTTTCCTTCGGGGACCTGGTTCTGGATGGGGTCTCTGCAACCTGCTGGGGTTGGGGGGGGGGCCCTTCTAGGGGAAGACTGAGCTTGTAAATAGAGAAGGGGTTGGCTAGTCGTGAGAGGGAATACAGGGTGGAGGGGAGCATAGAGGAAATGGGGGGGTGTCAGAGTATGGAGGTCTTTATGAGAATCTGAGGAGGACCACAGTGACAGTATCAGAGGTGAGAAAAAGGGTCGACTTCTTTTTGAGTCTGGGCATCAGCGGATATCAGAGGTCTAAGTAGGCCTGGAAAAGCTATATGGGGCAAGAGGGGTCACCTGTGGCTGTCTGAGTAGGGTGAGGATCTGTATGGGAGGCAGGGGGGACCTTTGGGATTAGGAGAGGCATCTGAGGAGTTGGGAGGTGGCTGTTTTGGTCATCAGATATTAGGAATTCCTCTGAGGCCTGAATGTCAAGAAGAGGGGATGGGACACCAGGAATAAGAAACGAAGGGGACCTTGGGGCTGAGGGATGTCTCTGTGGGGCTGGGACCTTCTGTGGTGCCCAGAGTGAGCCCTGGGTGTTTGCTGCTCATCAGATGACCTGAGAGTGGGCCCTGAGGACTGACTGGGAGCAAAGGAAAGGGTCTGCTTTCTTGGGGGGACCTGCCTGCACACTAGTCCCTCCTTTTCCCAGGTGACCATGGAGGATGAGGAGGAGCCCAGAGGTGCCTCAGCAGAGGAGCCCCATGATGAGAGGAGAGAGGTCCCTGGCCTGCCTGACAGAGACCCTACCCTGGCCCCCAGCCCAGCCCCCTTGCCCTCAGCCATCATCCTGGTGAGTGGGTTAAGCGTGGGTGTCCCCTGGCTGCCTGGGAAGAGCGTGTCTGTGGGCTCAGACTTCTGAGTGTCTCTCTTCTTTCCCATTTCTCAGCGGGCTCTCCAGCAGGCAGTAGGGGGTTCACTGCAGGGGGAGCTGACCAGTGAGAAAGGTAGGGAGCATTTGGAGTTGTGGCTTGGGTTCCCACTGTCCCTCTCCAGGCTTCTGCTGGCCCTGTTGCCTTGGCCCCCTGTCCTGACCTCTCTTTTTCTCCCTCCTCCAGACGTCCCTCGAGCTCGAGGTCCCCGAAGGAAACGCTGTCGGAGCCCCAGAGCCGAGCTCTGCCTCAGGGGGGCAGGCGGGACTGATGCTGCTGCCGTGAGTGTGGGAGCTGGGTGGGGGCTCCCTGGGGCGCCCAGGGGCTGTTTGTTGGGGTCCCGGATGGCTCGAGGTCCTGGGGCTGCTCCTCGAAAGAGTCGGACTCCTCTGGTTACAGGTGGTGGACCTTGCTGCCCGCAGCTTTCTGGCTGGGCTCGTGGGAGTTCTTGAGCCCCCGGCCTCCTGGATCTCAGGCCGGCTGGACTTCCCGGCTGCGGAGTGAGTGGTGTACCTGGAGGGAAAGTGGCAGCTGGGTGGGGCCAGGTGGGGTGAGCTTACCCTGTGACCCCTTGCTGTCCTCTGTACCCCTGCAGGGAGGAGCCCGCTGAGATGCTGGAGCTGGTGGCAGAGGTCCAGCTGGGAGATGGAGCTCCCCTCTCTCTACCCATCTCTCACCCACTCCATGGCAGCCGGGCCTGGCGGCTCAACAAGTCAGGTGACCGGAGTGGGGAGCCGGGGAGCGGGGTGGGGCCCGCTTTGGAGAGGCCGAGGTCCGTCACCCTCATGGCGTCCCGTTTCACCTCCCGCAGGGTCTCTTCTGCAGCCTGGCTTCCTGGACCCTACCAGTGCCTCCTCCCGCCTCCCGCTGCTGACCATGGGCACAGGAGATGGGGGGCCAGCCCCGCCACCGGCCCCCTCCTCTACCTCCTCCTCTCCTTCATCCTCCCCACGGTCCTCATCGTCCTCCCCCCCGCCCCCCCCACCCCCTCCCGCAGCTCCTCGCTATGACATCTATGACCCCTTCCACCCCACGGATGAGGCTTATTCCCCACCGCCTGCACCTGAGCAGAAATATGACCCCTTTGAGCCCACGGGCTCCAACCCTAGCTCCTCAGGGGGCACACCATCTCCTGGGGAGGAGGAGGAAGAGGAGGAGGAGGAGGAAGAGGAGGAGGAAGAGGAGGAGGAGGAAGAAGAGGAGGAGGATGAGGAAGGCCTTTCACATAGCATCAGTCGAATCTCTGAGACTCTGGCAGGCATCTATGACGATAACAGTCTGAGCCAGGATTTCCCCAGTGGGGAGAGCCCTGGGCCAGAGCCTCCACCCCCAGCAGGCTCTGGCTCCCCACCCCAGGCCGACTCAACCCGGGTGGAGGGTGGTCCCCCACGCCGAAGAGTCTTTGTGGTGGGGGCTGAGGCAGAGGCTTCGAGAGGGGAAGGCAAGCTGTCCCTGGAGGTGGTTACCACGGGGGCCCCCTTCCCTCCGGCTGCCCCACCTCTGGACTCTGAGATCGAGGAAGGGGAGATCGTGCAGCCGGAGGAGGAGCTGCGCTTTGCTCCCGTGGCACTGTTCCGTGGAGCTGGGGGCCGAGCCCCCCGGCCTAACCCCCCTTCAGCTAGTGCTGCCGCCACTGCCCCAGCCGCACCACTGCCCCCTCCGCCAGCTCGGGGCCCTGAGGGCGACGACTTCCTTTCTCTGCACGCGGAGTCTGACGGGGAAGGGGCCCTGCAGGTGGACCTGGGTGACCCCGTCCCCACCGCACCTCCTGCTACATCCTCCGACCCCCGGTGGACCGGCCTGGATCTTCGGCGCAAGATCCTGACCCAGCGGCGGGAGCGCTATCGGCAGCGGTCTCCCTCCCCATCCACAGCCCCCGCCGCCCCGCCCCAGCCTCCCAGGAAGAAGTCCAAGCGGGATCACAAGCGAGAGGCCAAGGAGACGCCGGCCCCGCCGGCCCCACCCAGCCCGCCGGCCCCCGTGGCCTGGGACCCCAAGAAGCACCGGTCACGGGACCGCAAGCCCAGCTCTCGGTCCTCGCGCCGCCGGTCGCGCTCCCGCTCCCCACGGCCACGGTCCTCCTGGTCGCCAAGCTCCGAGAGGAGGAGAGGGGGGCGCCGGTCCCGGTCCCGAGAGAAGCGGAGGAGGCGGCGGCGAAGGTCTTCCGCGTCGCCCCCTCCAGCGTCCTCGTCCTCCAGGCGGGAGCGGCACCGGACCAAGCACCGCGGCGAAGGCAGCAGCAAGAAGAAGAAGAAACGGTCTCGGTCGAGGGGCGAGAAGCGGGGCGGGGGGGACCCTGAGAAGGTGTCAGTGGCTGGGACAGAGAGGGAGAGTCGGCGACGGGGGGCCGTGCCCCCGTCCATTCAGGACCTCACGGACCACGACCTCTTTTCCATCAAGCGGACCATCACAGTGGGGAGGGCCGAGAAGCCCACGTCGCGCTCGGCCTCCGTGGCTGGGAGCGGCCCTGCCCCAGCTTCGCCCCTGCCCAAGCGGGAGGTTCTCTATGACTCGGAAGGGCTGAGCTGTGAGGAGAGGGGAGGTGGGGGCGGGAAGGGGTCTAGTGAGAAGGAGCGCAAGCGGTCAGCAGCCCTGGCCCCCCGGGAGAAGGGGCGGAAGAAGACGGCCTCCTCGGAGGGTGCAGAGCGCGAGCGGGATAAAGGGTCCAAGAAGGCCCGGCCATCCTCAGGCAAAGAAGCGGCCCCCAAGACTGCCAGCGGGGGCAGCGGGCGCAAGGTCAAGCTTCAGTCCAAGGTGGCGGTCCTGATCCGAGAGGGCGTCAGCAGCACGACCTCCGCCAAGGAGGTGGCCACGGCGACGGCCCCCAGCTCCATTGGGGTCAAATTCAGCCGTGACCGCGAGAGCCGGTCTCCCTTCTTGAAGGCCGACGAGAAGGCGTCTGGCGAGCCTGGCAAAGGGGTGGCCCCGGGAGGCCCCAAGCTGAAGAAGGCCAAAGTCAAGGCTAAGGCTGGCCTCAAAAAGGTCAAAGGGTCAAAGGTGAAGACGAAAGGCACCAAAACTAAGAAGAAGAAGGCCGGCGGAAGCAGCGGCGGGACGACCCTGAAGAAGTCCAAGGCCGACAGCTGCAGCCAGGCTGGACCCAAGGGAGCTGAGGAGACTTCTTGGTCAGGGGAGGAACGGGCCCCGGGCAAGCCCCCCAGTCCCCCTACCCCAAAGGCAGCCCCGCCGCCCCCAGCCCTCACGCCCGACTCGCAGACCGTGGACAGCAGCTGCAAGACACCCGACGTGTCCTTCTTGCCCGAGGAGCCGGCTAGGGCCGGAGGCCGGGGTCGAGGCCGAGGAGACCGGGAAGATGGGGACGAGGAAGAGGAGGAGGAGGAAGAAGAGGAGGAGCAGCCTGGCACCACCACGGCCTCTGGGGGAGGAGCAGGAGCGGGAGCAGGAGGGGCAGGCGGTATCGGCACGGCTGAGGCGGCACCGGAGGAGGGGCCCCCGACCCGGGCCCCCCCGCCCCCGGTCCCCCCGCCCCCCATGCCTTGGAATTTGCCAGCCGGGGTGGATTGTGCCACCAGCGGCGTGTTGGCCTGTGAGTCGGGGCTGAGCTGGAGGGGAGCGGGGAAGGGAGGGACGTAGAGCATGTGGGAAGGGCCTAGGCGTGCAGTGAGGAGAGCGTGGAAACAGTAAGACGGATTGGGGGTGGCACGGGCACAGACCACAGGGTGTTGATGAGCTGGGCTCACCCTGACCCGTCATCTTCTCCGGCCTTTCTGCCTTCCTAGTGACTGCTCTGCTCTTCAAGATGGAGGAGGCCAATCTGGCCAGCCGGGCCAAAGCCCAGGAACTGATCCAGGCCACCAACCAGGTGGGGATCCAGCAGGGGCTGAGAGCAGCTGCCAAGGGACTGGGGGGCCCCGAGCATCTGCATTCATCTTCACTCTCCCTACAGATCCTCGGCCATGCGAAGCCACCCTCAGCCCTGGGTGGGGCTCAGGCCCCAGGTGGCGCTGTGCTGGGGCTCCCCCCTGGGCCTTCGGGCTACCTGCTTCATGGTGGGGGCAGCATGGGGCTGCCTCTGGGTGGTTGCAGCTCCTCTCCCCCTTCGCCCGGAGGCCTGGCTGGGGGCCCTGACCGCAGGGAAGGCAGCAGCAGCTCCGATGGGCGGATGGACACCGACAAAGTGAGTGCCACCAGAAGGGGATGGCCCCCAGGGAGACCTGAGGTGGCTGGCTGGGCCTCCCCTCCCCCCGATCCGCGTCCTGTACTAAGGCTGGGGGAGGATGAGACAAGCTAGCAGAACCCATGTTCTGAGGGAAGGTAGCAGGTCCACAGTTAGGGGCTTGGGAGATCTGGGCCTGCTGGACAGAGAGAGCTCGGCCTGGGGATTCAGAGGGGGCTTCCTATAGATAGTATCATTCAGTTTGGGGCTTACAGGAAGCAGGAGGGCGTTCCGGGCCTGAGGGATGCTCCGGAAAGATGCCCAGAGTGGGAAGGTGGAAAGCTAAGAGGCCGGGGGCACTTTAGTGAAGAGTACATGTTGGGGATGAGGCCTGAGGGGACTGGAAAGGCAGGAGGGAGCTGTGCTCTGAAGGCTGTCTGGAGGATTCCATTTGAACTTGGAGGCCACAGGGAACCATTGGAGTTTATGAGTAGGGAATGACATGGTCGGACCTGTGCTTAAGGAAAATCACTTTAGTGGCTGAATGGAGAATGAACCGGAGGCAGGCAGGCCACCCAGCAGCTGTCGCCATAGTCCAGGGGTGAGGGGATGAGGGTTTGTGCAGAGGGAGTGGCAGGGTCAGAGGAGAGAAGGAGCACGCTGGAGAGATTTTGCAGAGGAGAAATCGACGGACCGTGGCACCATATTGGATCTGGGGGTGAGAGGGTGAGGAGCCTGGGATGACTCCTAGGTGGGAGCCTGAGGGACTGGGACGGTGGGTGCCCTCCACAGTCTTGGGGAAAATGGCGGAGGTGGGGTGGTTTAAGGGGAAAGAGAACGAGTTCAGTTTTGGCTGTACTGAGTTTAAGACATCCTGTTTGAGATGTCTGAAAGTCACTTGGAGACTTGGGCTTGGGGGTCAGCAGGTTTTGAAGCAGAAAAAAGTAGATTTGAGAATGATCAGCATAGAAATGGTAATTAATTGCATGGGAGCTGAGGAGATCCCCAAGTGAGGTAGGACAGAGGGAAAAGGGCCCAAGGACAAACCTTGAGGGATGCCTACAGTGAGAGGGCCTGATCTGGAGGAGGCTTCTCCAAAGGAGAGAGAAAGAGCAATCAGAGAGATGGGAGAAGAACTTGGGGGAGGGGGGAGAGTAAGGCGGGGGAGAGAGAGAGAAAGAGAGAGAACCGGGAGAGGGGTGGAGGGGCAGGGTCCTGAAAGCCTCCAAGGCTGAAGAGGCAGACGAGGATGGAGGAGAACCTCTGGCCGCTGGGTTGGAAATGGTTGGTAGCAAGGGGCAGCAGTGCCTGGGCTGGCTCTGGGCATCGCCCCCTGCCCTCCTGGTGACTCCCACCCTGGCCTGTCTGTGTCTCTCAGTACCTGAAAAAGCTGCATACGCAGGAGCGGGCAGTGGAGGAGGTGAAGCTCGCCATCAAGCCCTACTACCAGAAGAAGGACATCACCAAGGAGGAGTACAAGGACATCCTGAGGAAGGCTGTGCACAAGGTGGGGCTGGAGAGACAGGCCGGGGGAGGGCTGGTGGGGGGTGGGGAACAGAGGCAGGCTCCCTGGGCCAGGGCTGGCACTGACCATGACCTCCCCACGGCCAGATCTGTCACAGCAAGAGTGGGGAAATCAACCCCGTGAAGGTGAGCAACCTGGTCCGGGCCTACGTCCAGCGCTACCGCTACTTTCGCAAGCACGGCCGCAAGCCTGGCGATCCCTCTGGGCCTTCTCGGCAGTCTAAGGAACCTGCACCTCCTGACAAGTGTGGCCCGGTCCTGCCCGTGCCCCCGCTCTGAGCCCTGCCTGTCTGGGCCCTGACATATTTATGTCTCTCCTTCCTTCTCCCCTCAGCCACAGCTTCGTGGGATTGGGGGGTGATGGGGGAGGGGACCCGTCTGGCCCAGCTAGACTTCTCCCCAACGCCCCCAGGCCCACTTCTTCTTCCCTCCTTGTGCCCTCTTCTCTCCAGCCCTAGTTAAGGATTTCATGAAATGTTACACCCTCCAGCTTTGCCTCTGGCCCCTTCTTTTTCTGGGGGTCCTACAGGGAGATGGGGAGGGCATTGGAGGCTGGAATGGAGTCTTGACCCTGGCTGTGCTTGGACCTGTGGAGGGAGGAGAGGAACCTCCTTTCCCCTGAGGCTGTGGTTATGGGCATAGCACACAGGGATACTGGGGCAGCTCCCCCTTGTACCCCAAAGCTCAGCTTTTGGAGGGGCTTTCAGGGCCTGAGGCATCCACCTCTGTGCCCCTCCTTCTAGCAGTTGGTACCCTGTGTAAAGCAGGAGTGCAGGCCAGGCCAGAGGCCAGCCCCCACTCAGAAAGGTGAGGGACTCGGGGCTCAAGGTCCCTTAGGTTGGGAGGCGGGAGTCGCCTCACTGTAGGGACGGAACAAAGATTCAGCCAAGGTCATACAGCGACTCACGAGACCCACGTCAGCCCTTTTATTTTGGAGGCAGTGTACAGGCTCAGAGAAAGGGCTTTTGCCCTGGGGTCCCCAAGACTGGAGAAGGGAGTGTGGCCAGGCACTGGATCCGGACTGAGAAGAGGGGAGAGCTCAGCAGTGAGCCCCCGACTCCCACTGCATGCTGTGGGCCAGCCCCTGCAGGTAGCCGTGGAGATGGGCAGGTGCCAGGGACAGGGAAAGGCTGCCAGAGATGTGCAGATCCACCTCCTCTTCCAGTGACGATGCTCCCCCAGCCTGGGCCACCTCATGGAGTGCCCTCAGTGCAGTGGGCACCACCTAGAGAGGAGAGAGTGGCTAAAAAGGGAAAGCCTCCCTCCTGATCAGAAGATATGACCGCTGTGCCAGGGGCTGCAGTCTTCTCTGTGGGTTCATTAGGATTCAACCCTTCCAGCTCCTGGAAAGCCCTCCCTTTGCCCAGTGGTCAGTTAGGCCTGGGCACAGAACTAGAATTGAAACCCAGGCCCCAAGGGCAGAACCTCCCATGCTCTCTGGTTTTTGTGGGTGCAATGGTCTGAACACCAGTCCACCCCCTACTTGGCACAGAGGAAGGCAAGTGTGTGTTGTCACTTAAGTAACAGAGCCAGGGATTAAAGCTAGATTCCCCAACTCTGGGCCTTCACTGGCCAGTGGCAAGAGGGCCATCCCCTGGAACATGGGTGTCCACCTCTGGGTCTGTTGGGGCACCTTGACCATGACAAGCTTCTTGGTCCATAGCTGTGAATTGGTGGGCCAAGATTCCCCTAGGCAGAACCAGAGAGTGTACTGGGGCGAGCGGTGACTGCCTTCCAGGAAGGAGATCAGGTCTGAGGGTACATAAGAGAGAAGGAGGATGCTCAAGGCAGGAGCACTCACCTGGCCTGACCTGGCCCGACCTGCCCGGCCAGCCCAGCCTATCCCAGCCTCACCATTCACGAACTCTGGAATGGAGCAGACTTGCTGGCCATCTCTTTCCTTTGTCACTTCCCTCCCTGTGGCCCCAGGGGATGCCTGCTCTCCCAGGGTCCAGTACGTCCCGCAGTGGCCCAAGCGCTGTGCCCTGAATTCAGTCTGGGAGTTCCACAGGGCCAGCCCAGCCCCAAGGCTGCCCAGCACCCTGCTGACGTAGTACGCTGTCCGCTGGTCAGTGAGGGCGCTGCTGGGCTCAGGCAGGGCCAGTGATGTCCCATCCAGCTCCATCCAAGTCTCAGCCCCAGGTCCTGGCCCTACCAACCGGAGGCCTTTGAGGCAAGAGAGGCATTTCTGAAGAACTTGGCGCCCCCGATAGAAGGCTGTCACCTCATACTCGGTCTCTGAAGACAGATGGGTAGAGCTGAACACCCCAGACATCCAGAAGACACCCCAGCTCCCTCCTTGGCAGACCAAGACCTCTTACTTCCAGCTAGCTTGTACTCACGGAAGCCGCTGGCAAAAATCGGCATTAAGGGGTTGCAGGACAAGGCTGGTTCTGGTGTCTGGGGGAGCTGCTCCAGGAAGGAGTTGGGGCTGAAGTCTAAGGGATAGAGCAAAAGAGGTCGCTCAGATGGAGATGAACAGTGCGTGAGCCCATGGGTTCAACAGCTGCAGCCTACCTCCATGAAATTGCTGCTGCTGCTGAGTGGACAGTGTCAGGGCCTCCAGGATCTCCTGGATGGTGTCTTCCTGCAGAGGGGGAGCACAGAAGTGGTACCATGGAGAGCGTCTGTGTCCCCACCTCGCCACTGGCACCGGGGGCCAAGGAGGGCCCTTACCTGGTCCTCGTGCTCAGCAGCCCGGCCGGCCTCGCAGCCCTCCCCGTCCTCTGACAAGAACTCGTAGATCTTGTGTGGATTCTGAGTGTCCCGACTGTGGTTGCTGACCACGCGCAGGTTCTGCTTGCGGTCTAGGGCTGCCCGAAAATTCCGTTTCCACGTGGCTGGGTCCGGCACATCGATGCCAGGCCGATAGCTGCCGCTGGCCTCCGCCCATGCCTGCCAGGCCCAGACGGACATGGGACCCGTGGCGAAGTCCGGCTTCCCCCTGCCCTCCTGCCCCCCTCCACCCCCCTCCCAGAAGGCAGGGCCAATTCCCTCCCACCCCTCGCAGCCAGGGGCCTCGCACCTGGAAGATGCGGAAATCCTCTTGCTGCAAGTCCTGGCGAAGCCCGTGCTTCCAGGGGATAAAGAAGCGCGTGTGCTCTGCATCGATCCAGGTCGCACCCAGCAAGCCCGAGTCCAGCTGCTCCCGCAGCCAGGGCAAGATCCGCGGCTTGGTCTTGTTGGCCATGCTCCAGCTGGGCTGTGGGGGCATTCCGGAAGCTGGAGGCTATTGTGGCTGAGGGGCCTGGGGGAGTGCAGTCCTGCCTCAAAGGCCAGGGCTGGGGTGCGGGATGGCGGGGCAGGCTTCGGGACGGGGACGGTGAGCGCGTCCCAGGAAGTGGAGATGCCTGGGCCCATTCTGTGGATCTGGAAACTGAGGCCCGTAGCAGCGCTGCGTACGGCTCCCAGCGTCCCACCGCCTAACAGCATGCTGACTCGCCCCCACCCCCACACCCGGTCCTTCCGCGTTACCTAGTTCCCGGCAGGGGGACTTGGGCTCTTCAGGTTACTCCTTCCTGCTCGGCCGACGCTCCCAGCCCTGTGCGGGTCAGCTGATTCCATGGGGGCAAATACCCTCCCCCCTGGAATCAACCCAACCCCAGGCAGGCCGGGAGAGACGATATGCAAATGATGTCCCGCCCCTGGCCCAGTGAGTGTTGGCACAAGGATTCTGGCAAGTTGAAACGTTGTTTAAAAAGTATGGGGCTGTGTGCTGATGCGGGAAGTTCCGAGAGGTTCCGCCCCCTGGCAACAAGGACTCAGGAAACTACGTTTCCCATTGACCTTTGCGCGCCCTGCTCGAAGCAGGGGCCCTAGTGCTTTGCTGGGAGTTGTAGTGTTTTGTCCGACACACCCCCCCCACCCACACCCACACCCACACCCGCCCCCCCTTCCTTCCAGCCGGGGCCAGGAGGAAAGGGTCCTAGGGCCGGAATTGGGAGCAGTGGGGTTGGCCACTCTTGCCATCTCCCGATGGCCTTCAGCTCTCTCTCTGCCTTGCTCTGGGTCCCCCACGTTTTTACCCCCTTCTGGCTCTATCTGCAGGTCTCTGCTCTCCGTCTATGTTTCTCTGAGTCTTTGTAAGCCGCCACCGCTCCCCCCACCTTCGTTCCCTTCTGTCTCTCCCCATGTTTCTGCCCACATCTTGGGTCTCTAGCCTCCTCGGGGTCTTTGGAGCCTATCGCTCCCAAGTTCCTCTGGTCTCCCCCCAACCCCGCCTCGATCGCAGTTCTCAGGGGCTGAGATGAGCGGCCGAGAAGCCACGCAACCCACGCGGCCCGGGAATTCGTGCTGGCAGCTGATTGGTATGGGCGGGACCAATGGGTGGGGCTAGTGCCCGAAGTGGGCACTCTCCCGGGGCTGATTGGCAGGGGGCGTATCCCGGGCGGAGTCCCGGCTGCCAGAAGGCTTGGAGCACTACCGCCTCCTACTGTCCAGTCGAGACCAATGGGCTGCAGCGTTTTACCGGAGCGCTCCCACCCCGCCGCCTTTGGCGGCTTCACGCCAATCAGAGGGGCTACTTGGCGATGCGCGGGGGAGGGCATGCGCAGTGCCGCAGGCCCGCCAATGAGCGCATCAGCACGGTGGGGCGGGTCGACGGTGAGATGGGTGGCCCTGCTTGCGCGGGGTCCTCTGGGAAAGTGACGAAGGGGCGGGGCTATCCTTACGCATAACCAATGAGAACGCTTGACGTAAAGGTGGGCGGGTGAGTCGTCCAATGAGAGTGTGGGAGAGGTGGTGCCCACGGCGGGCAGGGGGCGGTGCGTTCGCTAAAAGGAGGCCCCTGGGGAGCCGCGGGCGGGGGGCGAGTTGGGGGGGAGAGAAGATGGCGGCGGCAGCCGAGGCCACGAACTGCATCATGGAGGTGAGCAGGGCCGGGTGGTGGCGGTGGTAGCGGTGGTTGCGGCGGCGGCGGCGGCGGCGGCGGCAGCGGTAGTTGGGGGCTTCTTCGAAGGCGGCCGCAATCGGCATCGGGGGGGCTGCTAGTGGGCAATCTGGGAGGACGGCGTGGAGGCGGCGACGACGGTAGAAGGAGATGGGAAGGAAGCCCAGCGGGGCCCCCTCTCCACCCAGCGCCGGCTACTTAGCCCGGCGTCTCCAAGCACGTTGAGGATCGGGGTGCAGAGGAGGCCTCGCAGGGCGGCTAGGGGCTCGGGGGTGCGTGAGGGTACCACGTGGGGCTCGGGGGGGGACCGGCCACCACTTCCGGTCCGAGCGCCACTTCCTTTCCCCCGAGCCCCACGTGGCCCCCGTCGGCGTGCCTGGGGGGCCTCCGACTGTGGCCCCCAGGAGAACAAAGGACTGGAGGGCTTCCCAGAGGAGGGGGCGGCGGCGGCGGCGGGACCCCGGGGGTCTCGAGAGATGGGCTGACGGGAGCGGGAATGGCGATCTCCAAGCGCAGAAAAGAGCTCGGGGCGCAGGGAGCGGCGAGGGTCTTAGACGGCTTGGGGAGGAGGGGGCGGGGGCGGGGGGCTGCTCTGGCCCGGTCCTGCCAGCTCGCAGGTGGGTGGGTGGGCTGTGACTGCGCAGGAACACGCTGAGGTCACGGCCCCCAGGACGGGCTATTCCTGGTGCCCGGGCCTGCGCAGGCGCGACCGGGGGGGGGGGCCGCAGGGTGACGGGGGGGGGGGGCGGTGGCTGTCGGCGCAGCTGTCTGTGTTCGTCTGCCGGGGGAGGGGGCCGGGGTGGAGTAGAGGGAAGGCCCCAGGGAGTGAGCATCGCTGAAGGGCTTTTGCCCGAGTTATCTGCAGCCGCAGCTGGGGCTGGGGGGGGACCCCTCTCCCCCTGCCCCCTCCCCACTTGTCCCCCAGAGTCCCTGAGCCTGGCCGCCGGGAGCTAACCGTCTCTCCCTGTTACTCTCTCCTAGAGTTTTGTGGCCACCTTGGCTAATGGGATGAGCCTCCAGCCTCCACTTGAAGAAGTAAATATCCTTTTGTGAGCCTCCCCTCCTCTCCCCAACCCGGGTCCCCCTTTCATTGTGACCTTGGGGAAAGTCACTTTTCTCCATGCCTCAGTTTCCCCTCTGTAAGCTAACGGCTGTGTGGGCCAGAAGGTCTTTAAGTACTCTCTCTGGCTCAGCCAAAGTCTGCGAGGCACATTCTTGTTGTATAGCCACTGCCCCTCTTTGACCCTGGTCAGGCCCTTCCCCTTTGTGGGCCTTAAAGCGAGGCAGTTGGAACATTGGCTCTAATCCCATCTTTTGGCTCAAGAGAATCCTGGGGAGGATTTTCCTCTAGCATGCCAAGGGACTGTGCTGGGTGACAGTTGCGTAACTGGTCCACTTGGCGGGCCCCCTGAGCATGTTAACGAGGCAACCTTTGCTTCCTTTCTCCCTGGTAACATGAGGGAGATGCATCCCAGCTGAGGGGCCTCCTCCAAACTCCGGCCTCTAGTGCCTGCTCTGACCCTGGGCCTGGGTTCTCCCCTCTCTAAAATAAAAGGCTGGACTTGCAGCCCAGCCTGGCATCTAGACTTTGACATCTTAGGAAACGGGTCTGATGTGATCTTGGGCAAACGATTTTGTCTTCCGTTTGCCAGCACCCAGCTTCTCTTTAAAAAGGGGGCCATTCAGCTAGAGCGTCTTTAATCGCCCTGGTATTGCAGGGTCCTTGGAAGGCTCACCCTCTTGCCTAGAACTTCGTTTCTTCCTCTCACAACCCAGACAAAATCTTCCTTAACTCTGCCTCCAGCAGCTCCTTCTCCCAAATCTGCACCACTCCCCCATTCCCCAGACCCTAAGTGTTACCAATGTTCCCCCCCAACCCCCGGCTGTGGGCTGAGCTAGAGATTGGAGAGTAGGCGCCACTGAGGTATCAAGGGGCCTCTGGGGGGAGACTGAGGCAGGGATTGTGGGCATGGGATGGAGATGGGGAGCCTGGAATGGGAGAGGGAAAGAGTCCCTGGGGCTGAGGAGGGGGTAGCCTTGAGGATGATTTAGGAAGGAATGAATATGGGGATCGTGGCACCCCTCCCCCAAAAAGTGACCCCCTTGTCCCCAACCCAGGTGTCCTGTGCACAGCCCGAGAGCAGTGAGAAACCCAACGCAGAGGACATGACGTCCAAGGATTATTACTTCGACTCCTACGCCCACTTTGGCATCCACGAGGTGAGGGCGGCTCCCCCCTGTGGCAGGCCCTGTACAAGCACCGTGGGCATCTCCTCCGCCCAGGGAATGGGCCTTGCTCTGGTCAGCCTGGAGGCCTCTAGGCGTGCCAGTGTCCTGCTCTCTGCTGCCCTCTCGTGGCAGGCACCGGCGCTGTTGGGGCTCCCAGCGGGGCCCCTGGAGGGCGATGCAGGCAAGCCTAGATCTCGGCCTCTTCTCTCCTCTGCAGGAGATGCTCAAAGATGAGGTGCGGACGCTCACCTACCGCAATTCCATGTTCCATAACCGGCACTTGTTCAAGGACAAGGTGGTGCTGGACGTCGGCTCGGGCACCGGCATCCTCTGCATGTTTGCGGCCAAGGCCGGGGCCCGGAAGGTCATTGGGGTGAGTTGGGGAGGGAGTGGGCCGGGCGGTGCCAGCAGAGGGAGGCGGCGGCCTGGGCGGCCCCCGACCCTGCTGCTGCTTCTTCACCCAGATCGAGTGCTCCAGCATCTCCGACTACGCCGTCAAGATCGTCAAGGCCAACAAACTTGACCACGGTGAGCAGCTGGGCTTCTGGGGAGGGCCTGGGGGCTGCGGTGCCTGGCTGCCCCAGGGTGCTGAGCGCGGGTCGGCCTGGCCTTGTCCTGCCCACAGTGGTGACCATCATCAAAGGGAAGGTGGAGGAGGTAGAGCTGCCCGTGGACAAGGTGGACGTCATCATCAGCGAGTGGATGGGTTACTGCCTCTTCTACGAATCCATGCTCAACACTGTCTTACATGCCCGAGACAAGTGGCTGGTGAGGCCCCTGGACCCCCCCCCCCCCCCGCCCTTGGGCGCTGCTCCCACCCGCGGGCCCGCTGCCTTCCTTCTCACTCTCTGTCCCTTCCTCGTCCTTGCAGGCCCCCGATGGGCTCATCTTCCCTGACCGGGCAACGCTGTACGTGACCGCCATTGAAGACCGGCAGTACAAAGACTATAAGATCCACTGTGAGTGTGGGTGGGTGGGCCAGGTGTATGGGGAGGGGGGG